AAATTCCCTCACTTCGGATTTTGTCAGAAGTAAAGCTCGGTGAGGCAAAATGGGTACAGGCTAGATATGACCAATTGAATCTGATTGAAGAAAAGAGATTGAAAGCTATTTGTCATGGTCAGATGTACCAAAAACGTATGATACGGTCACATGGTAAGAAAGTTCGCCTTCGAGAATTCCATGAGGGAGATTTGGTGCTTAAAAGGATTTTGCCTATTCAGAAGGATTTCAGAGGAAAATGGATGCCCAATTGGGAATGACCTTATGTTGTCCAGAAGGCTTTTTCTGGGGGAGCTCTAGTCCTAACTAAAATGGACGGATCAGAATTACCATATCTAGTGAATTCCGACGCTGTTAAGAGATATTTCGCTTGAAGAAGAAATAAAAGAGAAAAAGAAAAAAGAAAAAATGAAAAAAATAATAATAATAAAAATGAGAAGAAGAAAAAGAAAAAGAAGAAAAGAAAAATGACAAAAAAATAAAAATGGTAAAAGAAGAAAGAAAAATGAAGAAAAATGAAAAGAGAAAATAAAAAATGAAAAAGAAGAAAAAAGAAAAAGAAAAAAAAGGAGGGTTCAATATGAAAATCCGCAAAGGGCGTCTTGAAACCAAAGGAGGTCTCAAGTTGAAAACCTGTAAAGGGCGACTTGAGTTTTAAATTCAGAATTCGTGCATGGTGGAGGTTCTGAATCAATTTTGGAAGTGGAAAGAGCTCCTGATATGGATAGTAAAAATGACAGTTGGTGATCAGGGATGAGACTAAAGATTAATGAGTCTCGATTGAAATAACCAAGAGAAATTGAATGCACATGAGATTCAATACTGGTTTAAGGCATCTAACGATAGAGATTTGGGAGTTTAGAAGCAGCTTCATACTCTTAAGCATCATAATTTTGAAGATCTTTTTGACATAAACTACACTCGAGACATTCTAACGGCATGCCAGTTCAAAAGCATTTGCATTATTGATATTTGAAGACGCCTACTCTTTTGTTCTTTTACTGTTTCCAGTTAAAAGTTTGCCATTTAGTTGCCTAAAATTCTCTGTATTTATGTAAATAAAGAGATGTATTTCCTTGTTCGTTTCCCTTTTGTAAGCATCTTATTTTGAAAAGTTAAAACATATAGCTTAACTTGAAGTACATGAGATCATTTTGTATTATTGTGCAAAGGTTTTGGAAAATGCAGGTATTGAAGTTGACAATGGTTTAAACATGTAGCTTGTGTGGTAGGGAAAGTTGGTCATGGGTACTGGCGGGTTTCAAGAAAGGAAAGAGTCAAGGTTGTTAAGCCGAGAGACGGAATTGAGATTGTTAACTGGGGTGAATGGTCAAATGTCTAGTACCCAAGATGAAACCGAGTTCTATCGAGATCAAAAGGAGATAGAGTTCCTTCGAAGAAGAAAACACATTGAATTGCATAATTGCATATATTTTAGGCATGATTAGGATCATAACATTCATAATTTTATGATGACTTAAGCAGTTACAGGTTTCCCAGAGATAGTTGAAGATATTGAAGCATCGAGATGAACATAACTGGTTTGGAGATTTTGAAAAGAATGATGTTTATACGAAAACTGAGCCAAAGCAGATTCACGTATTCAATGGTTTCCAGACAAGTTTTCGCGATGGAGATGGATTTTCAGAAATTTTATCAAATTCTAAATTTTTGAATATAATATTTTCAAACATACATTAATGATTGATAATGTTTGATTTTCAGTTGGACCTTTGAAACAGGTCAATCTTAAGCCTTCACGAAGAGTAGTGAAGCAAACCATCTGTAAGCCTTCACGGAAGATTAGTGAAGCAAACTCATTTTATGAAGATCAAGTCCTATACTCTCTGAAGGAATAGGGAGCGGACACATTTTATGAAGATCGAGTCTTATACTCTCTGAAGGAATAGGGAGCGACACGTTTGTTAAAGATTGAGTCCTATACTCTCTGAAAGAATAGGGAGCGGACCTGTTTATAGAAGATTTTCCGAGTTCTATACTCTCTGAAGAAATAGAGAGCGGACCCATTTTATGGAAGATTGTTCAAGTCTTATACTCTCTGAATGAATAGAGAGTAGACACGTTTATTGAAGATCGAGTCTTATACTCTCTGAAGGAATAGGGAGCGGACCCGTTTGTTGAAGATTATTTGAGTCTTATACTCTCTGAATGAATAGAGAGCATGCACATTTTATGAAGATTGTTTGAGTCTTATACTTCCTGAAGGAATAGGGAGCATGCTCGTCATTTGAAGATTTTTCAAGTTTCATTTATCCCGACGTAACAGTGAGTGGTTTAATTTTTTTGAAGTTCTCATGACCAGACAAATTCGATCATCTTTTGATCTTTGCCCTATTCTCGTTACACGACAATGAGCAAAGAGGGGCAGCTGTAGATGCTCAGTTTTGTCTGGGGCCAGATCGGAGCAGACCCAAAGCTGAGCAATTGAAGGCCCAACTCAAGTCCACGTGAATACTCCGTAGAAGACTAAAAGCAGTTATCGGGTCAGTTTTTTAATTAATTAGGAAACTGCATTAGTAAACTGTTTTGTAAGTGGGGGGTTTATTAACCATCATCATTGCTAAAAGAGAACAACACAATCAACACAAAGGGGACGACCAGATACAGAGAGGGAAACACCATCACGGTGGCACAGAGCAAAAAACGAAAGAGGAGCCAGAGACAAAAAAACCAATGAAAAACCAAAAGGAGGAGACTAGGAACAGAAAACTTTATTATCTTTTGCAATTTCACAGTGTAAAAAGGATACGAAAAGGAACAGTGGTGTAATTTCACAATTCAAAAATAAAGAAGGCAATAGAGGTACATGTTTTCGAGGAATTCTCTCTTAGTTCTTATTCCCAGTTCATTTTTTCATTTTTGTATGCGATTGTTATTTAAAACTACAATTAGAGAGGGATTGGGACTACTTAGACTGCTTGAACATAAATGGGGTCTTGTTGATTCCATTATTTTTTCATTTTTTTGTATGCGATTGTTATTTAAAACTACAATTAGAGAGGGATTGGGACTTACTTAGACTGCTTGAACATAAATGGGGTCTTGTTGATTCCATTTGTTCTTTGTGTGGTTCCATTGTCAAGGAAAAAAGGCAAGATTTAATTTAACAAAACTAAAATAAAAAGAAGAGCGAAAGTGAGGATTTACCTTGGCCTAGCGTCGGGGCTGCTGTCGGGGTTGAAGAGGGAAGCGTGAAGAAACTGTGTATGTTCTGTGTAAATTCATATTAGTCTTGGAGGTTTTACATGTAGATATAGGTCTTATTGAATTTGGAGGCTCGATTTTGGGTGTGGCCGAAAGAAAGGTTCGGGAGTAAACAGTGGAGTTGGAGTCACCGACCTCTTATTGGAGTTTAGTTATAAGGTCGATTCAAGGCATTTCTAGCAGTGTAGTGTTTGGGTTTTGGTTGAATTTTTGTTAGAAGTGTGAAAAAACTGAAGTTTTGGTCCGGTGGTGGTTTAGTTCTGTGCGTTTCGGGTGAGGATTTATGGTGGTTCGGGTAAGAATGGTACCCGGTCTCCTTTGTTGGTAAGTCGCATGAGTGGAGAGACTGGAAAGGTGAGCTGTGGAGTGTGGCGTGAGGTTAGGTAGGTCCTGTGTGTAATTAGGTTAGTTTTTTACTTAGTTTAGGTTTCATTTATTAATAATTTTGGGTTAATTAATTTTTAGCCACCTAAATCTTAGGATAATTTGCTCTCCTTGTACTTTAGCCTCATATTTACACTTTAGTCACTTTTAGGATTGCTTTCGAATTTAACCTTTTGTGTTTGTTTGATTTCGCTATTTTTCTAGTTTTAATTTTAGTTGTAATTTTGTCAGATTATTTATGTTAAAATCCCTTATATTTATGTGTGTTTTTATTTAAGTCCTTTTTTTAATTTTTAATTTGTATGTTTAATTTTACATACATTCAAATTTAGTCATTATTTTAAACATGTATATATATGCACTTTTTAAAATTTATAGTTTAACATGTTATGATTTTGTTTTTATATTTAGGTCACATATGTACATTGTATGTTAATATGCATGGTTTACAATCCTTAATTAAAAAATATGTATGTAATTTTTTTGTATGTCACGTTGTATGATATTTTTAATTTAGTTTAATTAATTTTGGCATGACATCCACTTTTTGCATAATTTGCATGATAGCTTCACTTGCATAACTCGACATATTCATAATTGGATTAGGGGTAATATATTTTTAATTTAAAATTGTTTTAAGTGGGTAGTCATAATTGATTTGAGGTCCGCTTTTAATGATTTTAAAATAAAAGTGTATCCCCGAAAGTGAAACAAAAAAAATTGATTCGTCACCTAAAATTTGGGAACGAGAGAAAAAGAAATGTTCGTTTATTTAAATATATCGAGAAAAGGTTGTTATATCTTTAAGATCTGGTCTCAATATTTGTAAATAATCGAAGATTCTTTATCTTTCTAAAACGACTAGGTAATTTTAATTTAATTATTTTGAGTGCTTTTGAATGTTTTAAATTTACATTTTTATTTTATGGGATCAAAAATCAAAAATAAATTCGAATTTGTAAAGTTCATTGCAAAGACGTTAATTAATCGACTAGGTACCGATTTAGGGCGTTGTGGGGTGCTAATACTTCCCTCACGTAATCGACTCCCGAACTCGGATTTTGGTAACGCATACCTCAATTTGTTGTTTTAATTAAAATTAATTTTTATTTAAAATGACAAAACATTTTTGGGTGCCCAATCACACCCTAATCAAAGATTGGTGGCGAATCTTCGAACCGTATTTTTCGATAGTAAAGAGAATTTCAAAATTTTCGAAACGAGAGGTCTTTTAAATCGCATAAGTTTTTAAAATAAAAAGAGACAATTAAGAATTAATGTAATTTTCAAAATCTCACATTTTTTCAACTTTTAGAAAAAATCGTTTTGACAGGGACGATTCATGGTAGCTTGGGGAATTGTCGACGGTTACAGACTCTTTGTTTTCAAACATGTTGGATGGTGTTATTCCTAATGAGCTTGGCCAATTGCATGAGCTCGAGATTCTCGATGTTTCTAGAAACAAACTTAGCGGTTTAATCCTCGCGGAGCTTGGAAATTGTGTTCGGTTGTCGGTTCTTGTCCTTTCTAATCTCTTTGATCATGTACTGAGTGAGCAGAGCTCAAGTGAAGAGCTTTCATTTAGATTGCCACTCGCTACAACTGATGAGCATAATCGTTTTCAAGGCTCAATTCCCATGACAATTACTACCCTTCCGAAGCTTAGAATGCTTTGGGTGCCGAGGGCAAATCTTGAGGGGAAGTTAGGAAGGAATTGGCACGGTTGTGAGAATTTTTCGTGAACTTAGCTCAGAACAACTTCAGTGGGGAAATATTTGGAGTGTTCAATGGATGCAAGAAACTGCAGCATCTAGATTTGAGCTCGAACAGGCTAACCGGGCAGCTTGATGTTAAACTTCCAGTTCCTTGTGTGTCACTCTTTGATATCAGTGGAAACCTCATGTCTGGATCAATCCCCGGATTTAATCACAGTGTATGCCCTGGCTTTTCCTCCTTGTTATGAACTTCTCCGAACCCGTGATATGTCATATGCATATTTATCCTTCTTTAAATATAAAACACAGCTTGCAATGCTTTTACCATTTTTCGGTTCGAAAGCTGTGTTAGTTCACAGTTTTGGCAGAAATAACTTCTCTGGTTCACTCCCAAGGCTACCAATTGCATCAACGAGAATGGAGGACCAGATTGATTATGCATGTCTTGCTGGAGGAAACAAGCTCACTGGATCAGTTCGAAGTTTGTTTGGGAACTGTAACAAGCTCCATGGGATGATTGCTAATGTCAGCATGAACCGATTGTCCGGTAATATTCCGTTAGGAATTGGTGCAATCTGTAAATCTCTTATATATTTGGATGCCTCTGAGAATCAAATTACCAGGATAATTCCCCAAAGCTTGAGGGACTTGAAGTCTCTTGTGTTCCTTGACCTAAGTGGAAACAAGCTTAGAGGTTTGATTCCCGAAGGACTTCATCAATTGAAGTATCTGAAACATCTCTCCTTGGCAAGCAACAACCTGACTGGCTCCCTTGAAGTGTTAGAACTTTCACCAAATTTGCTATCTGGTGAGATTATACAAGGTCTTGCTAAACCGAGAAACCTATTTTTACTCCAGCTAAGCAAAAACCAACTCCAGGGAAATCCCTTTTGGTTTCTCGAACATAAAGTCACCAGTGTCTGGGTCATTACCATTGAATGCTAATGCAGTGAATTATACCGGTGTCCATAAAAAGCCTTTCCTTCATTCACACCATGTATTCTCGCTATCTATTCGCCCTGGCAATATGACAACGAACACTGAAGGTTCAGAAAGTGGTGCAGCTTTTCCTTCTGGAAACACAACTGACAATCAAGGTCTGGATTCCATTGAGGTTGCATCCATAGCATCTGCCTCAGCCATTGTTTTAGTTCTAGTAGTTCTAGTTGGCCTCTTCTTTTATGCCAGGAAATGGGTCCCACCTTCCAGGATACAGGTTTCTGAATCAAGGGAAATAACCACATTCGTTGATATTGGGGTTCCATTGACATATGAAACAATTGTCCAGGCAACGGGGAACTTTAGTGCTGGCAAATGCATTGGGAACGGAGGTTTTGGTGCCACTTACAAGGCCGAAATAGCTCCGGAAACCCTAGTTCCAGTGAAGAGGCTTGCTGCCAGTAGGTTCCAAGGTGATCAGCAGTTCCATGCTGAGGTAAAGACCCTCAAAACTGTGAGGCACCCTAATCTTGTGACTCTAATAGGGTATCATGCCAGTGAAACAGAGATGTTTCTCATATACAATTATTTTTCAGGCGGTAATTTAGAAAATTTTATTAAGGAAAGGTCCGCAAGGGCCGTGGATTGGAAGATTATTCACAAGATTGCTCTGGATATAGCCCATGCACTCGCATATCTGCATGACCAATGCACTCTGAAGGTTCTGCACCGGGATGTCAAGCCAAGTAACATATTGTTGGATGATGATTGTAATGCTCATCTGTCTGATTTCGGATTATCAAGGCTTTTGGGTACCTCCGAAACCCATGCAACAACTGGTGTGGCTGGAACATTCGGTTATGTTGCACCAGAGTATGCTATGACCTGTCGTGTATCTGAGAAGGTCGATGTCTACAACTATGGGGTTGTGCTGCTTGAGTTGATATCAGATAAGAAAGCCTTGGATCCTTCATTTTCCGCTCATGAAAATGGCTTCAATATCGTCTCTTGGGCCTGCATGATGCTGCGACAGGGTCAAGCAAAGGATGTGTTCACTACAAGGCTGTGGGAAAATGGTCCACACGACCATCTCGTGGAACTGCTGCACGTGGCCATTACGTGCACGGTCGATATCCTCTCAACCAGGCCAACGATGAGGCAAGTTGTCCATCGTTTAAAATGAATTCAACCTCCTCCGGAAGGTTAAGATGGTTTACTTGTGCATGCTATGATCCCAAATGATCTGCTTAAGTGCACAAAACAATGAAAATCATATCAGACTTTTAGTTTTTACATTTGCACCTAAAATAAAGACCGTCTTCCCCTAACTGAGAACAACCCTAAATGATCTGCAGAAAAATAGCAGATATGAATTTGGGAGAAAAAAATGTTTTTGTAGACTTCTTTATGCATGTTTTCCAGTTCCCTTGCTTTTGTAATGCTGAACTAGGCAGGTATAGCAATTTAATATGTTCCTTGTTTGCAATCCTGAGCTTTCTATGAACCATGTTTAAAATTCTTATGAGATATTGGAACTTTCATGGATCCATAATTTATTTCCTTCTTTATGGTATTAATATCTTTTACACCTTTGGTAAAGATTTTGTATGATATTTTTTTGCCAAGTAAATCTCAAAGATTGTAATTTTATATCTTGGATTATGTATTCCATACAGTTTGATCAACATCACTACCACCTACATGTTTGAGTAAAATGTAACTTAATTGATGGTCCAATGATCGTGTAAGTAATTTACCCGTTCTTTAAATCATTCTCACTAAAAAATATTGGCAAAAGGTACTAGAGGTCCTTGTACTTTTAAAAATAAACAAATGTGGTTTTTGTATCATTTTTTTCCTTTCAATGTGATCCTCTTAACTTAGAAAATAAACTCAATGTGACCCTTTGACCAATATTTTTTCGCCGTTGGTTGTTACGGTGTTGACGTGGTAGTTCACGATACTGACACAACAGTTTAGGATGATAGATTAATGTGACGGATAACTGTCATGTTGACACTTTGTACCACTACGTCAGCACGGTGAACTACACGCAAGTATTGTAACGGTCAACGAAAAAAAAATATTGGTAAAAGTGTCATATTGAATTTATTTCTGAGTTGGAGAGTCACATTAAGAGAAAAATAATACGAGGGTCACATTAGTTTTTCCAAAAATAAAGGGATCTCGCATGTATTTTTACCAAAATATTTTTTAAAATAAGAATAAAAAAAATAAAAGTTTATTGAAATTTACTAGCATGGTCAAAACTCAAAACCCTCGAAACAACTGAGAAATCCGGGTGAACAGAGCGAGCCGCCGGCAACAAGATGTGTGGAATTGCTTTACTTGTCTCCGGCATTCGCTTCGACTTATCGGCTCTAAATATCGATTCCGTGTCTTCACCCTCTAAAACCCATCTGGTTTTTTCATTAGATGATCTTAAAGCAGCTTTACAAAGACGAGGCCCCGACTGTTTGGGCTCCAAGAAGCTTCTTCTTCTTCATTCAGACGCTTCAAATTCTTTAAACTCTTGGGTTTCTTCTGTTCATGAGGAATCTCACGTGCTTGAAAACGGGTCAAATATTTCTGGATGTTCTGCAGAACTTGTTTTTCTCGGTACTACCTTGCAGTTAAGGGGAGTATCTCCTGGTATTCAGCCATTGGTAGATTCTTTTGGGAATTTCTTGTTTATAATGGTAGAGTTCGTTCCTTTGTGTTGATTTGATTGTTGGGGTTTGTTTCTCTTTTTTTCTATCTTAATAGTTTGGTTTATGTTTCTTTGTTTTATAAGGTAGTGAATTATCCCACTGCTCAGTCTTCTTCTTTTTTTGTTGTATGGTTAAAGGTGAAATATTTGGGGGAATCGAGGTTGGGAGTGACGACAATGACACTGAAATTCTTATGCAATCTCTGCGAAACTGCTGTTCCTGCTGTTCTCAGGAACATAAGACAACATGTGATTTTACTGGGCAAGGGAAAGGTTCTGTTCCTGATGTTCTTTCAGTTATAAAAGGACCATGGGCTATCATTTACTGGCAGGTAACCCCCAGTGGTAAGTCACTGTGTGTCATTTTTAATTTGGTAGAGAAATGGCATTTTCTTCAGGCTATTTGTTACCGAGGCTTTGTTCATTTTTCATTGCCAGGAAAGCTCGAAAACCCTGTGGTTTGGTCGAGATGCATTTGGTAGGCGAAGCCTTCTTGTTCACTGGCCAACTATGGATGATCCTCGATTTCTGCTTTCGTCTGTGTCACCGACTTCTTCCAGCCTACAAGATTCAGGTATGTAATTGATTCACTGTTTATCCCATTGATCAAATCTAACTATGATACCACAAGGCTTAACTTTTGATCTATTGTAGACTATGCATTTATGAATATTGTTTCACTGCTTGTGTATCAAACAATGCCACCCTGTTGCAGATTTTGAAGTTGAAAATGGGACTAATGGCATCAATTTTTGGGAAGAACTTTCGTGTGGGATATATAGCATGTCAGTAGATGCTGCAAAATCAGATTGGAAATTTCTTGGTGATATCAAGAAACATGAGTGGACAAATGCTATGCTGAAAGAACTGATTGAATGGGAAAGAGTTTCAGTCAAACCTGAACCTGCACAGTTGAAGTTTTCCCTTTCTAGGACTCTAAGTGCTGAACTTGACATCAATTCAGCTTCTTCAGGTAGTTTGCAACTATTAGGCAGTATGGTTTTGTGGTCTTGTTCCTTTTTTTATTTTATATCCCAAATGAGTTTTCTTATTTGGTTTATTGATTTAAAATTCATGATGATTAGTTCTCATCAATCCTTTGTTTTTGATTGAATAGGGCCTATTCATGCTTCAGTTTCAGTGCTAGCGCAGAATGTGCTGACAGCTTTGAGGGAATCAATGATGCGGCGCATATCACTGCATAATATTTATCAGGTTTAATTGATTGAGCTGAATTACGTTTGCTAAAGATATGTTGGTTTAAGCTCTTCATTTCTTTATGGATAAAAGTTCAATTTAACGCTAAACGGCTGGTCTATTGCTCACATCAGGAGTGTAGTTTGATATGATAAATCTTGAATATTTTTCTTAATGGTTAGAACTTTAATTGATTTTCAAATTTGTTAAGTTATTTTGCTTAAATTGGACGTATAGGCCCAAAAAGAAACTGTTCCTGTGGCTGTTCTCTTTTCTGGTGGATTGGATTCCATGATTATTGCTGCATTATTGGATCAATGCCTAGATCCTAATTGTAAGTATTGCTATCAATCTTCTTTTATCTATGCATGTATTTATTTTCTGCAAATTAACTTGTTGGAAACTGTAAAATTTATTGGGAACTCTTCCATGTCCCTTGTTTCGAACCAGAACTCTAGCTGTCCATATATGATCTGTTATTCAATGGATAGAAAACTAGTATCATTTTGTGCTAATTTAATCATATTTCTTATATGAGTGAATTTTAATGATGCAAAACAACTTAGTGGTCTTTCATGTACAATGTACAATAGCGGTTGGTTTTGATGTGGACCTTTGAGTGTGACATTCAAGTTGGAGTTATTCACAATTCTGGTCTTAGCAACTCTTTTACCCCTTCACCTTTGTTAAACACAAGAGGATGGAAGGAGTTTAAAAGCAATATATTATGGGATGTAAACCACCTCTTTATTTTGGAGTTGAAATGTCAATTCTTTTTCTCTTAAAAAACATTATTTTCTTTAAGCTAAACTGAAGTATAAGTTGGACTTTTATCTGACGCTTTTGTGTATTCTGATATCTCTTGGCAGATGAGATTGATCTCCTTAATGTGAGCTTTGATGGTGAATCTGCTCCTGACAGAATCAGCGCAGAAGCAGGAGTTAAGGAGCTTAGAAGGGTTGCACCCTTAAGAAGGTTCAATGTTTAGTTTCCTTGAAAGTAAAAAATGACGTTTTATCTAAGCATCACAATTTTAATTTTGTTGCTTATTGAAATGCAAATCTGTTGGGAATACAGGTGGAGACTTGTTCATATCGATGCTGATTTATCAAAGTTGACTTGGGAAACAAAGCGTGTCTTATCACTCATTAATCCTGCAAATACGTACATGGTACTTCTTTTTATTCCATGATCCGGTTGACTTCTAGCTTCCACCGTTGTAGTTGACTATGTAGCATACTTCTTTGTTCAGTATTAAAAAAATGTCGTACTTTCAGTAAAAATGTAATACAATATGCTTTTAAACATTCTGAACCAGCTACTTAAGTACTTATATCATGTATATATATCACTTGGTACTAATTTACCTAACTGGTAAAACCCCATTTTGCATTTAAACTTTCAGGACCTGAATATAGGAATAGCCTTGTGGCTTGCTGCTCGTGGAGAAGGTTGGACGTGTGAAGAGCTTAATCACGGGATTGATGAAGATAAACATGTTAAGTACACATCGAGGGCCAGAATTTTGCTTGTTGGCTCTGGTGCAGATGAGCAATGTGCTGGATATGGTCGGCACAAAACGAAGTATAGGCATGAAAGGTCTGTTTCTGTTGTGGATGAAAAATATGTGTCTAATGTCTATAAACATGATGTCCTTATATTAAGAGAAATTACTTAATTCTCTGTCAATAGTTGGCTCGGGCTACATGAGGAAATGAAACTGGACATGCAGAGAATTTGGAAAAGAAATCTAGGAAGAGATGATAGATGTATAGCTGATAGCGGAAAGGAGGTACTGCTAATAGCTTCATTGTCTTAGTCTTCCAGCCGACTGTTGCATTCCATCTGAACTCTTTATCGTGTTCTTTGTTAGGCAAGATTTCCGTTCTTAGATGAAGACGTTATTAGGACACTTTTGGATATTCCTCTTTGGGAGGTTGCAGATCTTGATCAGCCAAGTGGAAAAGGTGATAAGAAGATTCTGAGAGAGGTTAGCATATTAACTTTTCAAATTTGGTTCACCGAAAGCATTTCTTTTGTAGAAGTCGTTTTTTTTTTACTTTTGTCGGTATTAGCGACCACATTCATGTTAAATTGTATTTGTACCTTGCAATTTTAGTTTTGGGGTTAAAACTGATCAAAACAATACTGTTTCTTTAATCTTGTTTTAGGTAGCACAAATGCTTGGTTTGCATAATGCTGCAATTCTTCCCAAGAGAGCAATTCAGGTCCGTGTTCTTTTTTTCTTACGATTTTCCTTTTCGGGTTGTTTTATGTTCTTCTGTATGATATTCAATTTTACGAGAACTCGGTATCGTTCTTCTTGTTAAAAGAGTAAAACTATTTACAGGGATCTGATAATTATATATAATTTGCACAAAAACTAGTTAAGAAACGAGTTCTATAATCCTTCTTTGACTAGTTGCTTGATATTCGAAATGATACGTTTCTTATAGCTTGATTTAAAGATCTTTCAATTTGGTTGGTTAGTTCGGATCAAGAATTGCAAGGGAGTCGAACCGAAAGAACTTTGGAAGTAATCGAGCAGCCAACCAGGCATCTGCAGGAAGTGTAGTGATTAACATACCATCTTACTTCAGTTGACGCTTGCGGGATTTGAAGGTTGTTTCAGCCAGTTTAAGTACAGGATTTCTTTCTCACTTCTCAGAGAGTATCTATGGTGATGATGGTGATAACTTTGATGAGGCAGCTGATTCCGATGCCATCGGAATCAATGCAGGATCCTTGTTATTCACATTCTTCTCAAAATTATGAAGCTGCCATTTATGCAGAATTTGAGTGTGCGTGTCGGATATGAGTATATTTAACTCGATCATCTCCGATTTCCGATTCGTATTTTGTGTCGGACGGGAACATTTTTAGAAAATTGAATGCTATGTTTATGTTTATGGTTCAATCTTTAGAGGAGCTAAATGTAATAATATTATGTTATGCTGTGCTTGATTCTAGGTTCAATGGCGTTTGAACAATCTCCTATTACATGTTCTTTTTCTCCCCTGTTATTGTTATAATAACAATAATAATAAATCAATACAATTATTCTTATAAAAATAAAATGATAATTATAATAAGGGTGAATTATATCAGATACTACTCAATTTTACTTTCAATTGTTTCAATTAAATGGATAGTTTTAAGGGCAAATTATGCGTTTAATACTTAAACTTTTAGTTTAATTTTGTATTCAAAATTTAACATTAAATTTTGAAGAAAAAATTATGCCATATCAAAACAAAATTTGATACAAGTAAATAAATATATTGATTTTTTTTATAAATATAACTATTTATATGTTAATAGTTATATGAGTATAAAATATTTTAAATGAAAGTATAGAAATATGATTATAAAAACTATAGAAGGTTAACATTATTTTAAAAAACCTTTTATGAAAAGATATTTATGAGAAATGTTTATAAAATATTTAAGATTTAATTATTTAATATTGTTATCAAAATATTGTTTGTAAAAAGTAAATGATTAAATAATAAAATATAAAAATAATTAATAAAAAATATATTTTTTATATTTTTTCTCTTTAGCCTTTTGTTATTTTCTAACATCAATAACCTTATAATTGTTTTTTTAAATATTAAATTTGTATAAATCGATAATAATATGATTTTAAAGCTTCTTTTATATTATATGTAAATAATTAAATATTTTCTAATTTCATTCAAGTCTCTACAAAACAAAGTTCTCAAACATCTTTTAAATAGCAAACGGCGTCGTCCAGACTATCTTTGTTCCAAGTAGAAGAGGGTTTTGAGTTTCAAGATTGGTTCTCTTACGGCAAAGATGCCATCGATGGCGGAATCCCAAGTACCCAACGGCAGCATCTCTTTTAAGAACAACAGAAACAACAACAACAAACCCAGTTTCTTTTCCAGGTCCATTCTTCACTCTTTGTTTTTTCTTATTTAGTTCTTTATCCTTCCAAAATTGTATTCTTAATCTCATAATTACTTTCAATTTTTAGGAAAGAAAAGATTTTGGAGCACCGGAAATCGCTTCCTATTGCTTCGGGTTTGTTAGACTGATAATCCTTAGATTAAATCATTATCACGTTTATGTTTCTATTTAAACAAAGGTTATTCCTTCTTGTTGTAGTTGAGAGAAGACTTGTTGAAGAGGTTAAAAAACAAGATGTCTTGATCATTGTTGGTGAAACTGGAAGTGGGAAAACAACTCGTGAGTAATACTATTTTTGGGGTTTTATTTTTAATTTCAATTGGTAATGTTTTGATTCTTTTGATATATTTGCATTGGCTGTTATGTTTCTATGTAGAGATACCTCAGTTTTTGTTCGATTCTGGATTCTGCCGTGATGGGAAAGCTATTGGGATAACACAGCCGAGGCGTGTTGCTGCTGTAACCGTTGCGAAAAGGGTAGCTGAAGAATGCGGTGTTGAGTTGGGACAGAAAGTCGGATATTCGATTAGGTTTGAGGATGTAACTTCTAGCTCAACAAGGATAAAGTATATGACTGATGGATTACTTCTTAGGTAATCCTTTTTATTTTGTTTTAAAAATAATAGTTTACTTTGCTAATGACATCTTGGTTTTATATGGTTTTAGAATGTGCTGATGAAAGTGTTAATCATATGGTGAATTAAGTATTCTTCGAACTGGATTTTGGATTGTTTAGTTATGTGGGAGCTGATGTTTAGTCGTTTTTTTATTTGTTTTTATGCTCTTTCAGGGAAGCATTATTGGATCCGTATCTCTCTAGGTATTCTGTGGTAATTGTTGATGAAGCTCATGAGAGAACTGTCCACACTGATGTATTGTTGGGTTTGCTTAAAGAGGTACAAAATGTGAGGTCCAAATATATAAAAGACCACACTAGTGTTGGTCATAAGAGAGCAAGCAATGGCACAATCGTGGAGAAAGAAAACACCAATCCCTGCATCGGTGTTTTAAAGCAATGCCAGGGGAGAAAATTGTCACCCTTGAAATTAATCATCATGTCTGCCAGCTTGGATGCACGTATTTTCTCTGAATACTTTGGTGGTGCGAAAGCTGTTCGTGTTCTAGGACGACAGTTTCCGGTGGATGTATTCTATACTGTTGAACCCCAGACTGATTATTTGGATTCCACTATTGTCACCATATTCCAGGTTTGTTGGCAGTGCTCTTTAGTTAATCTTTTCAATGTTATTGCATCTTTGAATTGGTTCTGGGCCTGGGGTTCAAGGTTCAATCTGAATGATGGTTTTTGTTATTCTTTTATGGTTATCAATTTTAATCATCCATCAATGTTCATGCATTTATTCTGAATTTGTTCTGACTGATTGTGTATATAATTTGTTGGGAATCTATGTCCTCACCTTTTTCCGAGAAAAAGCATCCTGAAAGCATTGGAATATTTTTTTAAAATATAAATAGTATGGATCTTGATATGTACCTATCTTCACTTTATTAGATTCATTCAGCGGAGGTTTCTGGTGACATTCTTGTATTTTTGACTGGGCAAGAAGAGATTGAGTCTGTTGAAAAACAAATCCACGAGAATTTACAACTATTACCTGAAGAGAAGCGGAATATGAAAACGTTTACTATATTCTCATCCCTTCCTTCAGAACAGCAAATGCGAGTTTTTGCACCTGCTCCTGCAGGGTTCCGAAAGGTAGCTTTATAAATTCATTTAATAATGTGTAGAAACTGGTGATCATCATATATAGTAATTAAGGTGGGAAATACACACTGTTCAACGTTGCCAAAATGAGACTTTTTGCGGTGTAATGTGTTTGCATTACTAAATTCATTTTTATCGGATTATTCTTATTACCAAAATGAGAATAGGGCAGCAAGTGCATATATTTCTGCGAATGCAATATATGTTGAGCATACTTTTAGATTTGACTGCTTGTATGTTTACAAATTACAATATGATGCAATTTTACCTTAAGCGTTTCAATTCATTTTTCTGTTTAGGTCATACTAGCAACTAATATTGCTGAGACATCAGTTACAATACCTGGAATTAAGTATGTCATAGATCCTGGAGTTGTAAAAGCACGTTCTTATGATCCGGTCAAAGGGATGGAATCGTTGATTATTGTTCCCACCTCAAAAGCACAAGCAACCCAGAGAAGGTAGGGGGTGAACAATAAACGATTTTTTTATTATTTACATTTAACTTTTTGTTGATATCGTCTTGAGTGGTTTTCAACAGGGTTAAGGGAGTGTTTGTTGCTTTTTTTGTTTGTTTGTTTTGAACTGTGTTGTTCTAATTTATTTTTCTTTTTCTAACATCATTTCAAATTTCTTCGTGTTTCAATTATTCTGTTTTCTTTCGTATGGTTATAATTGAAGGTACTTTGCGAACAAGATGGTTAACATAATGTTTTTTTAAAAATATGAATTCTTTGTTTCTGTAGTGGACGTGCTGGGCGTGAAGGACCTGGGAAGTGTTTCCGTCTCTACCCAGAGAGAGAGTATGAAAAGCTTGAGGATTCAACCAAGCCTGAAATTAAGCGGTGCAACCTCTCAAATGTCATTTTGCAGCTCAAGGCCCTGGGTGTCGACGATATATTTGGGTTTGATTTCATAGAGAAACCCTCAAGGTGAACCTCTGCAGAAGTAAATTTCAGCTAATGTGTAGATCTCTTTTGCTTTATATTACTATCATTCACTGATCATATAACATTAGATCTATTGGTTTTGATCACTGATTAACATTCAACAGATTTGGACAAAGTGGACTTTTTTTCTTTCATGGCTGCTTATTTTCCCTTTTATTATTTGGTGTATTATGGTGAATGACACTTTTTCACATTTGAACAGGGCATCTATTAAAAAATCATTGGAGGAGCTGATTTTGCTAGGTGCTTTAAGTGATGAACTCAAACTATCGGATCCTGTTGGTCGTCAAATGGCTCGGCTCCCTTTAGATCCTGTTTATTCTAAAGCTCTCATCCTAGCTAGCCAGTTCAAGTGCCTAGATGAAATGTTAATTGCTGTTGCAATGCTTTCTGTAGAATCTATCTTTTATGAGCCACGGGAAAAGTTGGATGAGGTACGATAGTGTACTACAAATTCTATCATTGTCATGCATGTGGGCTTGGATGTTTGCTTAGTTCTATGTTCTTTTCTTCCAATTAATGATGAAAATACGTAAAATGCTTTTCTTTTTTGGACAGGCAAGAACTGCGAAGAAATGTTTTGCTAGTTCTGAGGGAGACCATCTCACCTTGATTAATGTCTATCGAACATCTATTGAGTTATTGGAGAAGAGAAAGTCCGAGGTTGGCAAAGAAAAGCCTGAAAAAATTCTTAGAAAGTGGTGCAAGGAAAACTTCATCAATAGCCGTTCTTTGCGACATGCCCGTGACATCCACAGGTTGTTTGCACTCACACTCACACCTATATTTAGTTTGTTGAACTTTCTCTTTCTCCACACAAAATACACCCTTCTGTTAAACAAGGTCTTTGGTAATGAATTGGTAATTAGAAATTAGTTATTATGCTGTTTTATCTTGGCAACATGCAAGTATGCATAGCTAAGTCTGTTAGGTGCTTCATTGCAGTCAAATCCGCCAACATGTTGAACAAATGGGCCTTTTCATTTCGTCTTGTGGAGATGACACACTTCAGTTCCGCAGATGCCTTGCCGCTGCCTTTTTCCTCAATGCGGCTTTGAAGCAGCCTGATGGAACATACAGGTAAAAATACACTGATTATTTTTTATAGCATTCATCGTTATCTCTTCTACTTGGTCTCACCTTCCTTTTAATTCACTTTCATTTGTATTAGATCAGCCTTTATTGTTTGTTTAGGTATGCAATAGGTCTGTATGATAATTCCCTCACATTTACTTTACCAAATGGCAGGGCTTTGGCTAGTCGTGAGGTGGTGCAGATCCACCCATCGTCTGTGTTATTCCGAACGAAAGCTGACTGCATTATTTTCAACGAGTTTGTCAAAACTACGAACAAGTACATCCGCAATATAACAATAATTGATGGATTTTGGTTGACAGAATTAGCTCCCCACTATTATGCCAAGCAGGACTAGTATGAGTACTTTCAGGTAATTTACTTCATTGCTTAATTGTTTTATCATGTTGTTGAAGCTCTATATCGATTTCATTACACTTTTTTGCATTGGAACTGGTAAACTTGTGCTGAATATTTGCCAATTTAATAGAATGGTTTAATCCTTCATTTTTCAGATTCTTCATTTCTCTTCAAATAATCTAACTCCAATGTTCGACGCATATCCGGACATATATTCGATGATATGATCATTCAAAGACATGAAAGTCTTTGGGGGAATTGAAACATACACTGTTGAATACATACAAATATCCATCACTCGTACTCTAGTCTGAGTAACATAAATATATGCAATTTCTATATGTGCCTGCTTAATGTTTTAAAGATTTAGAATAGTCTTTTTGCTATTTAGCTTAAATGGTGGAAAAATCCTTTGTTTTTCATGTTCAATATTATAAGTATGGGACTCCTTAAATGTTTGAAACTTGCCATGCACCTAGTCTCTTGATTCTTTGACATCTAGTAATTCTCTGATTTTGTTTCTGTAATGCTACAGCAAAATGCTTGTGGATCCGCATTCGAAGTAGATATCTATTGTTTGCTTTTGCGATGGCCGATGAGTGACCATAACGAAACCATTTTGACGGTGGAATTCGGAAAGCATAAGCTCGGTATTTATAGAAATCTTGTCTCCCTTCCAAGGACTTCAAATCTGGAAGTTGATGAAGGAGACCCTTTGAACTGGAAGGGAAGAGCTTTCGCCTACCTACACACTCGAGACGCAGTTATTAATCTTTTTATGTAACGTTAATCCGAGTTCCGCATTCCGATACCTCAGTTGAAGCAATGAGAGTTGTTAGATTTTTTAGATGCAGATCCATGAACATGCTGGTAAAGCTTTCTTCAGGTCTTAACAGGGCTAACTTTTTGCGAGTTTTGATTGTTTGTAACGATGTCTCTCTCTGTTTAGCTAGTTTCCGCCATTGTTGTTGCTTGAAGAATAGCTTGTAAAGGCTTTAAAATATTTGTTGAAACCTTGGCAGTAAAAGAATTTGGTCCAAGTTTTGGCCATCGTTGTTTATGCGTTGTAGATGAAATGCTTTGTTTAATTATAGATGATAATGATAAATATCTAATCGCAAATTAAAAAGGGTAAATGATATATTTAATACTTAAATTATCAGTTTTTGTTCGTTTTAATATATAAACTTTTAATTTTTTTAAAACCATAGTTAATGTTTAGTTTTTATTTTATTTTAGTATCTATAATTTAATGTGTGTAGTACCTAAATTATTAGTTTTGGTCTATTTTAGTACCTAAAGTTTCAATTTAAAAAAAACAATTTTAATTCTTTGTGTTAAATTTGGGGTATATATAAGATAATATATGTTCAATGACTCTTAACCATTTAATAATGAACATTTATATCTCTAACATATACGGTTTTCAAATCTGGGATCCTACGAGATAACGTCAATGTTTTTAATTATTAATATCGCTTGGTTCGTATATAAAATAACTTTAATTAACATGGATAGAAAGAAAATAAAATATGGGGAGAAAGTACCATCATCAAAATCAATTTATTAATCATTGCATAAATCTTAAGACTTCATCGCACATATAATTGTAAAAAAACTCAAAAGAGATCATTATATTAATTAAATACAACATTAATTATTAAGGTTTGAATCGATTTTTTCAGGAAAATAAAGTATTTTATAAAATTTCGAACAGTCTTTGAACATGGTTTTATAATTATGACGTGAGATAATGTCTTTTAATTTAACTAATTAATTATATTTAAATAATATAAATATTTAAAAAATAATAATTTAAAGTCAAATCAACTTAAGATTCCGTCAAGCATTAAATATATATTATTACCAGATTATCTTCCAAGTTTTTAGCACCCGTTTCTTGACAGTAAGGAAACAGTAAGCCAGTCCAAATTACTCTAATTATTTACTCACAGTTTAACACCAACTAGTGGACTCGTTCATATAATTAAATTTTTAATTCTTTTAATTATATTTTGTTTTAATTATACCATTTCGTCGTTAAATCACTAACGGTACAGTGACATAATTGAAGTAGAAAATAGAATTCAGTGCTATAATCGAAAAAATGAAAAGTTTAGTTATTGGATTGCTTAAAATTTTAAGGACTAATTTAGAATTAGGATCATAGTTTAGGAATGAATATGTATATAACATACAAAAGTTTTAGGATCATAATTATACTTAACGTTTAGTTTTTGTTTCATTTTAGCACATTGTTAAAAACTTATCGTTAAGTTTTGATTTTTTTTAAAAGTTTAGATATTAAAATGGACTTAAATTAATAATTTAAGTACTTAATACGTTAAATTTTCAACGCCATAGTACTAAAATAAAAAAAAATTAAATGTTAGATATGATTTAAAAATCTATATACTAAATCAGATTTAGATATTAAATACGTAATTTATCTTTTAAATATAACTTTACGTAGATTGTGGTTGTGTTTATATTTGTATTACAAATTTAACATGCAAAATGAGAAATATTTATAATTACACGAAACTCACATGTAAAATTACTATGATAATACATTTTTTATGCAATTATATGTGTCTTCACTTGTCAATAAAAAATAATTTTTAAAAAATATATCAAATACATTTTTAATTTTATATACAACTAATACTTGCAATGTAAAAGTGTATAAAGGTTGTAATCTTTAAAAATCTTTGGTTCGATAACAATATTTATAGAGGTGTTTAAGTGTTAATTGTCAATTAGTTAAATCTTTTAAAGTGATATTATTTTATAATCACAGTAAATTATTTAACAATACGCATATATCATGTAAACACTCTTTAACTACGAAGACCACTCAATAGACTTACGAGACGATATAGAATGTTAAAAAATTATATATATGATTTTAGTGATGAAAGGGGAATTATTCTCCCTAAAAAATTTAGATTCGAACAGTTACAATTACATATATATATATAATAAATTTCGAACATTGCTTAAATAAGGTGATTGAGCTAAATAAAAAGTCCGTATGCAGTAATGGGCCAAATTTGCCGCTTTTAGTGAGTGCATTGAAGTGGCGAGGCCCGCCAATTTTACAGTTTAAGGGAAATTACGGTCTTTGTTTATTCAGCGCACAACGGCTATTTGGCGATTATGCGTTTACTGCTCTAAGCTTCGTTGTCTTTTCACGAGCTTTACTGTCAGCGAGAGTGGAAGGGAACAGTCATGAATTACCCGCCCAGCACTCGTCGGAGCCGTAAAGCTCCGGCGAAATCTGACATTTACTCGACTTTCGTTGTCCACTCTGGATCCGAATCTGAATCCGACTCCGGTTCCGGCAGATCCAAACCTAAACCGCAAGGTCCTCGTGAGTCGGACCTTTACGCCACAATGATTTACAAGGACGGCGACGAAGAAGATGAAGACGACCCCTCCCTCCCTCCTCTCTTCAGACGTCTCCCTAAAGACTTTGGCGGCGGTCCTACCGACTTCGACGTCGTCGACGGTGACGATGCGGGAGATTTTGGAACCGTGATCGTGAAATTCCGATCGCGGACGTAACACTCGCGGTCAAGCGTCGTATTCGTTTAAACCACCGCAAGCGCCCGTGGCGAGTCCGATGGGGATAGAGAGATGGACTTGACGTTGCTGATGAAAGGAGGAGGAGGAGGAGGAGGATGAAGACGGGAAGGTTTTGGGACGTTTGTGGTGATCGACGATGAGGAAGAGAATCGGTTCTTGCAAAATAGTAAGGCTTCCTTGAGTTCGATTCCAGACAGCGTTACTAGAGAAGATCCTTCCACTAAATATGAGTTGCTCAACGAGCTGGGTAAGTTTTTAATTGTACTAGTTTAAGACAATTGAGTGATGATTATCCTCATGCTCATATGATTATCATGGAAATGCCAAGTGAAGTGTGACTTTGTGTTTCAATGACCGGCAATTCTTTATTTTAGGGCAAGTGCAAATGTTAACTGATATTGGAATTTTGGTGGCAGGGAAAGGTTCTTATGGGGCTGTTTACAAGGCTAGAGATATAAAAACTTCTGAGCTTGTTGCCATTAAAGTTCTATCTTTATCGGAAGGGGTATGTATGGTTTTCTTTTTTATATTTGGTGTACTCTGTAATACTGGCTGGATAATCCACTGTGAATATGCTATTAAGTTTGTTTATTTTTAGGAACAAGGGTATGAAGAAATTCGTGGTGAAATTGAGATGTTGCAGCAATGTAGTCATCCAAATGTTGTTCGGTACCTTGGGAGCTATCAAGGGGACGAATATCTTTGGGTTAGTGCAATAAGCATTTTTCTCCAACTAGATTTTATTTCTTGATTGTTTGAGTTGAGTTCAGTTTCTAGATTGTATTGATTTAATTTTATCTGTGTTGCATTTGCATTTTTCCTGATATTTGTGTTTTTTTGGATAACTTATTTCATTTTTGGGCAGATAGTAATGGAATCTGTGGAGGTGGAAGTGTTGTGATTTAATTCATGTTACTGTGGAGCCTTTAGAGGAGTATCAGATAGCATATATATGTAGGGAAGCTTTAAAGGTATTATTAAGTCTATTTAGTTTGGAATTAAATAATACTCCACAATGATGTTGATGCATTCTCTAATTTGTATCAACTTTCTAATTTAATATCATCTCTTTCATTTTTTTTCTCATGCAGGGCCTTGAATATTTGCACTCGATTTTCAAAGTTCATAGAGATATCAAAGGTGGTAATATCTTGTTAACTGAACAAGGAGAGGTCAAATTGGGTGAGTACACTGTGTAACTTTTTTTTTCTTTCAAATTGAAATCAATGGGAAATTAGGAAGTTAAAATTCTTTTTTGTTGTCCTTGATATGATTAGTAACTATTTTCTCGACAACTGCACACTTTGCATGATAAAGAAGTTTCTATATGTTCTTCCATAGCAAAGAAGGTGCCTAGAAACACATTTTACCTGCTATCCTTCTTTGTACATAAGAAAATTCAGTAGAAACAACAGAAATGCATTAATATCCTTTTCCTAGAGATTATCAGTTTGACCTATGATTAATATGCCGAAGACATTGCTTTTATTAATTTGGATGATGCTTTTAATTTATAGAAAGATTGAAATGATAGTGCTTTTCTTTCTAATTGAATATCGAGCATAATCTTAGGCATACAAATGTGATAAACATATGGGGCCCTTGAGAACAGTCCACTTTTTAATTGAATTTGAATGATAGGCCTTAGAAGACATGAGTATTGACTTCAGATGCCTTGAAGATGGTCAAGAAAATCTGAGACAAAGTTGAGGGGAATGGTTTATGGGAAAACTGTTCCCATCTGGGCTTAATGTTTTACCTTTTCCCCCTCTTTGACAACTTGTTGATCTGCAAATATGTTGTTATTTTGATCACTGAACAGGTGATTTTGGGGTAGCAGCACAGCTTACAAGGACCATGTCAAAGCGCAATACAGTATGTAGTTCTCTGTCTAGTTCACAATGTTTGCTAATGTTTCACTTCTTTCGGGCATTCTTTGGTTTATCTAAGCTAGCATATGTTCAGAAAAGACTTAACTGAAATCAAAATCATCCTACACTTTCTTATCATTGTCAAAGTGATAAACTGAATTAATAATTTTAAAGGTTAGATCTTTAGATATCATGTTAAAAGCATGAAACAACAGATTATGCATAACAGGCATACCAAAATTTCCGTAACTTTCTTTATTATGGAAACCTTATGGTGTATAAAACAACAGTTTATACATAACAGGCCTCACCATATTTTGGCTGGATTAATATTTGTATTATTGATATCTTGATTTGATGATTTATTGTTCTCACTACTGGAAGTGTGAGTGACTCTTCTTATTTTGTTTCCAGTTTATAGGCACTCCACATTGGATGGCTCCAGAAGTTATTCAGGAAAGTCGTTATGATGGAAAGGTATCTTATTCATTGAGCTGCATGGTTTGGTCTTCTTTAAGGTTTTACGTTTAATGCTTAG